AGGGAGAAGCAGGCTCCCCGCAGAGCAGGGAGCCCGATGCGGGACTCGATCCCAGGACCCTGGGATCATGACCTGAGCTGAAGGCAGTCGCTAAACCAACTGAGCCACCCAGGCGCCCGCAATCTACAGATTTAATGCAATCTCTAGCAAAATACCAGTAGCATTTTTCACAGAACTAGAACAAACAATCCTAAAATTTGTATGGAACCACAAAAGACCCCTAATAGACAAAAGAATCTTGAAAAAGAAGAACAAGGGGCGCCTGGTTGGCTCAGACGGTTAAGCGTCTGCCTTTGGCTCAGGTCATGATCTCAGGGTCCTGGGATCGAGCCCCGCATCGGGTTCCTTGCTCAGCAGGGAGTCTGCTTCTCCCTCTTTCTCTGCTGTTCCCCCTGCTTGTGCTCTCTCTCTCTGTCAAAAATAAATAAAATCTTAAAAAAAAAAAAAAGAAAAAAGAAAAAGAAGAACAAAACTGGAGGTATCACAATCCCAGATTTCAAGATACACTACAAAGTTGAAGTAATCAAAACGGTATGGTACTGGCACAAAAATACACACATAGATCAATGGAACAGAATAGAAAACCCAGAAATAAACCCACAATTATATGGTCAATTAATCTTCGACAAAGCAGAAAAGAATATGCAATGGGAAAAAGTCTCTTCAACAAATGGTGTTGGGGAAATTGGACAGCTACATGCAAAAGAATGACACTGGACCACTTCCTTACATGCTGTGCCAAAATAAACTCAAAATGGATTAAAGACCTAAATGTGAGACCCAAAACCATAAAAATCCTAGAAGAGAGAGCAGTCAGTAATTTCTTTGACGTGGGCATAGCAGGTTCTTTCAAGGTATGTCCCCTTAGGCAAGAAAAACAAAAGCGAAAATAAACTATTGGGACTACATCAAAATAAAAAGCTTTTGCACAGCGAAGGAAACAATAAACAAAACAAAAAGACAACCTACTGAATGGGAGGAGGTATTAGCAAATGACATCTGATAAAAGGTTAATATCCAAAATATATAAAGAACTCATACAATTCAGCACCAAAAAAATCAAATAATCCAGTTAAAAAATGAACAGACATTTCTCTAAAGAAGACATCCAGATGGCCAACAGACACGTGAAAAGATGCTCAACATCACTCATCACCAGGGAAATGCAAATCAAAACTACAATGAGATGTCACTTCACGCCTGCCAGAATAGCTAATATCAAAAACACAAGAAACAAGTGTTGGCAAGGATGTGCACTGTTGGCGGGAATGCACACTGGTGCAGCCACTGTGGAAAACAGTATGGAGGTTCCTCAAAAAATTAAAAGTAGCATTACCATATGATCCAGTAATCACACTACTGGGTATTTACCTAAAGACTATGAAAACACTAATTTGAAAAGATATAAGCACCCCTATGTTTATTGCAGCATTGTTACCATAGCAAAGACATGGAAGCAACCCAAGTGCCCATTGATAGATGGAAGAAGAAGAAGAAGAAGATAGATGATGATGTATATAATGGAATATTACTCAGCCATAAAAAGAATGAAATCTTGCCATTTGCAACAACATGGATAGATCTAGAGAGTATAATGCTAAGTGAAATAAGTCAGAGAAAGATAAATAGCATATGGTTTCATTCATATGTGAAATTTAGTTAAGAAAATGAGCAAATTAAAAAAGAGACAAACCAAAAACCAAACTTAAATATAGAAAACACAGTGATGGTTACCAGAGGGCATGTGGGTGGGGGGATGGGGGAAACAGGTGATGGGGATTAGTAGTAGATTTACCATGATGAGCAGTGAGTAATGGATAGATGTGTTGAATCACTATATTGTAGACCCAAAACTAATATAACACCATATGTTAATTATACTGGAATTAAAATAAAATTTTTGAAAAATAGATGCTCATGAACTAAGAGTGTATTACCTCCTTGTGGGCCCCTCAGCAGCAGAATGGAGAGTGTGTTCCACAGAACAAACTCAGCAACTGAAGCTGCTTTAAAGGAGCATTCACATTGGCTATATCCATGTGCTGTGATGAAGGGTGGCTTATATTCCTTATAGTTTTCTGAACTTTTACAATAAATTACTTTTTAAATATGGAAAATACTTTTGTTAAGCTGTATCTAAATGAACTTTCAAAGAGGTTATTTTATAAGATTAACCTTGGTATGTGTGTTTTTTTCCCTCAGCAGTCACCTTTGTGCCAGTATCCAAGGTGAATGGGCAGGTGGAGGTTGAGGACATCCTGGCAGCTGTCTGCCCGGCCACGTGCCTCGTGACTATCATGCTGGCCAATAACGAGACTGGTGTCATTATGGTGAGTTACTTACCCTTTTAAGAAAATCTAGTGAGGAATGAAGGGGGCCCAGACTCTGCTTGATATTCTCATGCATCTCACCTGGGGCCTCTTCTTTTCTTTCTCCTTCTTCTTCATCTTCATCTTCATCATTTTTGTCTTCGTCATTGTCTTCATCTTCCTTCTTCCTTCCTTCCTCCTCCTTCCTTCCTCCTCCCTCCTCCTTCTTTCCTCCTCCCTCCTCCTCTTCCCCCCTTCCTCCTCCCTCCTTCCTCCTCCTCCTCCTACTCTCCTCAGTAATGACTCCTTATTTCTTTCATTCAGTTTTCATGAAATCAAAGAGACATACTCAATTGTTTATTTTTCCCTACTTCAGCCCATCTCTGAAATCAGTCAGCGAATTAAAGCCCTGAACCAGAAGCGGGTAGCTTCCGGGCTGCCGGTCATTCTGCTACACACAGATGCAGCACAGGCCCTGGGGAAACGGCACGTGGATGTGGAGGACCTGGGTGTGGACTTCCTGACCATCGTTGGGCACAAGGTGCGTCCACAGAGGCTTCCTTCCTTCCATGACCTCAAGGCTCACCTTAGAGCAGAGCCCACGGCACCACTGATCATCCATTTGTTGTCCAGTGCTGTCGGGGGACACAGTGGTGCAATTTGCAGCCCCCACTGTCACAAGCTGAAGAAGGAGAGACCAGCAGCACCCCAACTTGAGACAGGAGGGGGTGGACAGGCAGGGCTGTGGAAGGACCTAGAGGCCTCAGGTGAGACATAAGGCAGGTGGCTTCAGCCAGATATTGAGTGTTCTTTGCAGTGGGCAGAGAGCTCCTGTAGACCCCTCATCAGCCCACACTTATGCCCCCACCCCAAGGATGGAAGATGTGAGATTCAAGATGTTGCTTTCTCTAACTTGATTTAAAGTGCAGCTCCTGATTGCAAAGGTTTTGTTTTACCAGCTCTTACCTTAAATGTGGAAGAGAGGAAACAGTAGTGAGGACCCTTCTGAGACTTCACTCATCTTTCTGGCAGCTGACTAGAACCTGAAATATTTGTAGTCCTCTACATTGAAGCATGGTGCTCAGCTAGTTTCCAAAGGAGCACGTGTGCTGACCCGACACTGTGGCATTTAATGATTTTTGCAAAATGTCTGTTTGAAAACATGGAGTCATACCCAGGAAAAGCCCTTGGCAATCTCTAGTTCCAGCCACTCTCCTTTTATAAATTCTGTTCTGTGATGTGCAGTCAAGCTCTGCTGCCCCAGGCTAGGAACAAGAGTCCAGGCTCTGCCCTGCACCCCCAAGGCTTTTGTGTCTCTGACATGTCCAGAGTGGTGATGGGTAGCACAAGCTGTGGGACCCATGGGTTACAGAGTATTTCTCTGTGTGCCTCTAAGCACTCAGCACGCATACAGAGTAGTAACTCAGAAGGTTCTTGCTGAATAAATGACTGACTTTTCCTTTCAGTTCTATGGTCCCAGGATTGGAGCACTTTATGTCCGAGGGCTTGGTGAACTTACCCCTCTGTACCCTATGCTGTTTGGAGGTGGACAAGAACGGAATTTCAGGCCAGGGTAAGATAGAAGGTTAACGAAGTCTCTGGCCTACTGACCATCCTGTTGGTCTGTAGGGCAGTAACTTTTCTTTGTCTCTTAGAAGAACTGTAATAGCACATTCTACCTCACTACGGAGTCAGAATTTGCTGCACTGATAGATTCTGCCCATTCACAGATCTTCACTTTCTATGGGGATGATTCAAAGCTGGAGCCTCCTGGCTGAGATGTGCTGCTCTTCTCATGAGGGTGGGATGAGCAGGGTTGCACAGTAGCACCTGGCTTCCTTTCTGATAGCTCCTGTGTCCCTGCGATAGAAGCTGATACTGTGACCAGGGAAGGAGGTGGTACCAACTATCAGAAATTCTAACAAGAAGGAGAAAAGGAACAGCATGGTAGTGGGTTCCCTGGGTTTTCTTTTGCCTCCTTTATCCCTGACTTAGAGCTGATGAAGCCTGTAACTCAGAAACACTAATGAAGGCAGAAAAAAAAAAACGTCCAACCAAAGCCAGCTCTCACTAGACAGTGGACCAGGAATAGGATAGCCTACCTAGCAAGACGGAGAACTTTTAGACAATACCCACTTTACTCTGGCCAGTCACCACATGGTAAACTGCTGCCATCCCCACCTGAGCCAGCAAAGGCAGGACAGGGAGCCCAAGACTTCCACCTGCACAGCCTGTGACAAGATCTTCTCATCTTGTGTCAGAGGGGGCCTAGTAGGGAGCCAGTAATGAGGTACCCTCACCGTGGTGTCCATGGAGACCACCAGGGCTTCCACCCACAGCTTTACTGACAAGGTGTGTCCTCCCCTTGCATGTTGACACAGGCTGAGTAGGGAACCCAGATTCCCACCTTCACCTGGCAGCAATGAGCTGGCATACTCCTTCCCCTGCCACAGCAGTGTCAAAAGAAGCCAGCTAAAACAGAAGGGTTAAGTAACATCCAGATTCTCATAACATAATATGAAAATATCCAGGTTTCCACTGAGAACCACTCATTGTATCAAGAACAAAAAAGATCTTAAATTGAACAAAAAAAAAAAGAATAGATTCCAGTGCTGACACTGAGATGACAAAGATGTCAGAATTATCTGACAAAGATTTTAAGGCAACACAAGAAAAATGCTTCAATGAGCAATTATGAACACAGTTGAAATGCATGAAAGTGCCAACAAGGACAAAGAAGATATAAAGAAGAACTAAGTGGAAATTTTAGAACTAAAAACAACAGCAACCAAAGTAAGTGCAATGGATGGGCTCACCAGCAACAGAGGAAAGAACCCGCGAACTGAAAGAGAACGATAGAATTATCCAATCTAAGCAACAGGGAGGATCTAGACTGGGGAAAAAACCACACCTCAGGGACATTGTGGGGACTATAGGAGAAGATCTAACAGTCATTTCATTGACATCCTAGGAAAAGAGGAGAAAAGGTGGGATGAAAAAGAACTCGAAAAAATAATGGCTGAAAACTTCCCAAATTTGGCAAGAGACATAAACCTACAGATTCAAGAAGCTAAAGAAACCCCAAGCAGGATAAACCAAAAGAAATCCATGCCAATGCACACAGTTAAACTTCTGAAAATGAAAGGCAAAGAAAAATCTTGGAAGCAGCCAGAGGAAAAAATGACACCTTTCCTACAGGGTAAAAATAATTCAAATAGCAGTGTATTTCTCATCAGAAACCATGGAGACCAGAAGGAAGTGATGCAGTATTTTGCAAGTGTTGAAAGCATTGTCAAGCCAGAATCCTATATGCAGCAGAAATAGCCTCCAGGAATAAAGGGAAAATCAAGACATTCTCAAATAAAGGCAAACTAACAGAATTTGTCACCAGAAGACCTATGCTAAAAATTACTAAAGGAAGTTCTTTAAACAGAAAGGAAACAGTAAAAAAAGGAAACTGGGAACATCAAAAGAAAGAAAGAGCAGTGTAAGCAAAGTATGGGTAAATAAAATAGGCTTTTCTCTTGAGTTTTTGAACTTATATTTGATGGCTTAAGCAAAAATTATAGCACTGTATGATGTGGTTCCAAATATATGTGGAAGAAAAATTTAAGATACTTATAAATGGAGGAGGACTAAAAGGATGTAAAAGGAGATAAGGTTTCTGTTCATTTGAACTTCTGAAAAATGTTCAAATAACCCACTGAGAGGTAGGAAGAAGAAAACAGAGAAATAAAAAAACAGAACAAACAAACAAAATTTTTAATGGGCGACCTAAACCCTAACATTAATTACATTAAATATAAATGGTCTGAATACAGCAATAGACAGAGATTGGCAGAGTGAATTTTTTTTAAAAATTGACCCAACTGGGGCACTTGGGTGGCTCAGTCAGTTAAGTGTCTGACCCTTGGTTTCAGCTCAGGTTGTGGTCTCATGAGTTGTGAGATTGAGCCCACGTCAGGCTCCATGCTCATCAGGGAGTCTGCTTAAGAGTCTCTCCCTCTGCCCTTCCCTTCACTTGCACTTGTGTGTATGTGCGCTCCTGTTCTCTCTAAATCTTAAAAGAAAAAAAAAATGACCCAACTGCAGTTGACCCTTGAACAATGCAGGGGTTAGTGGTGCCGATCCCCTGCACAGTTGAAAATCTGCATGTAACTTTTAACTCCATAAAACTTAACTGCTCATAGCCCCCTGTTGACTGGAAGTCTTACTGATAACATAAGCTGACAGTTAACACATATTTTGTATGTTATATGTATTATATACTATATTCTCACAATAAAGTATGCTAGCAAAAAGAAAACATTAAGACAATTATAAGGAGGAGAAAATACATTTACAGTACTATAAAAAATCTGCATGAAAGTGGACCCATGAAGTTCAAACTTGTGTTGTTCAAGGGTCAACTATATGTGGTACATATAAGAAACTCACCTCAAATATATTGATAGAGGGAGGTTGAATATTAAAAATGGAAAAATAGGTATCATATAAACATTAATCAAAGGAAAGCAGGAATGGCTATATATTAGATAAAGGAGACTCCAGAGCAGAGAAAATTACTGGAGCCACAAAGGGGACATTATGTAATGATAAGAGTCAGTCCACCAAGAATTCCTAGCTATCCTAAATGGTGATGGAGTACACAACAGAGCTGCAGAGTATGTGAGGCAAAAACATACTGAACTGAAAAGAGAAACAGACAAATCCACAATTACAGATGGAGACCACAATACCCTTCCCTCAACAATGAATACAACTAGATAAAAATCAACCAGGATACGGAAGAACTCAGTAACAGCCAACAACCAATAGGACCTAATTGAAGTGTTTAGAACATTTCACCCAACAACAGCAAAATACATATTCTTTACAAGTGCCACAGAATATACACTAAGATAGACCATGTCCTGTGTCATTAAACAAACCTCAACACATTTGAAGAACTGAAATCATACAGTGTTTTCTCATCACAGTGGAATCAAACCAGAAATCAATAACTAGAAGGTAGTGGGAAAATCTCCAAACACTTAGAAACAAACAACACACTTCTACATAAACCATGGGTCAAACAGGATTCCTCAAGAGAATTAAATACATCAAAATGAATGACAATGAAAATACACCTTATCAAAATTTGTGAGACAGCCAAAGCATGGCTGAAAGGGAAATTTATAGCACTGAATGTATATGTTAAAAAAGATGATGACTCGGGGCACCTAGATGGCTCAGTCACTTAAGCCTCTGACTTGATTTCAGCCCAGGTCATGATCTCAGTCAGGGTCATGAGATCAAGCCCTATGTTGGGCTCTGAGTTCAGTGGGGAGTCTGCTTGAGATTCTCTCTCTCCCTCTCCCTTTGCCCCTTCCCGACTCATGAGCACTCCCTAAATAAATAATCTTAATTTAAAAAAGATGATGACTCTGAAGTCAATAAGCTATCACCTGAAGAACTTAGAAAAAGAGCAAAATAACCCCAAAGTAAACATAAGGAAATACTAAAGAACAGAAATTAGTGAAATTGAAAACAAAAATAATTTTTTAAAGATTTTATTTATTTGTTTTTAGTGAGAGAGAGCGAGAGCAGGGGGAGGAGTAGAGGGAGAGGGAGAGAGAGAATCTCTGCTTAGTGCAGAACCTGTTGGAAGGCTTGATCCCATGACCCTGAGATCATGACCTGAGCCAAAATCAAAAGTCAGGTGCTGAACCAATTGAGTCACCCAGGCACCCTGCAAACAAAAATATTTTTTAAAAAAATAATTGAAACAAAGAAATAGCCTTTTAAAAATATTGATAAAACTGACAAATCTCTCACAGTATTGTACACCTGAAACTAATATAACACTGTATGTTAAGAATACTGGAATTAAAAGAAAAAATAAATTAAAAAAAAACAAACCTGACAAACTTCTAGTAAGATTGACAAAAAATTGCCAGTATCAAATTTGACAATTCAGATGAAGTGGAATACTTCATCAAAAAACAAATTACCACAGCTCACCTAATAGGAGACTTGATCATTTAAATATCTTTATAACTATTAGGAAAAGGAAATTAATTTTGTAATTTTAAAACTCCTCAAAAAGAAATCTCCAGGCCCAGGTAGTTTCACAGGAAAATTCTACCAAACACTTAAAGAATTAACACCATTCTGTGCAGTCTCTTCCCGAAAAATAGGTGGAGGGAACATTTCCCTGGTTCATTTTATGAATTTATACCAAAACCAGACAAAGATGGTACAGAACAATAAAACTATGGACCAAATATCTCTCATGAATTTAGATGCAGAAGTCTTTAACAAGGGGCGCCTGGGTGGCTCAGTCGTTAAGCGTCTGCCTTCGGCTC